CTCCGCTCCTCGGCGCCGTTTTAGGCCCCGTCTTGGCCGGCGCCTGGGGATGTGCCTTGGCCGGCGCCTTAGCCGTGCCTTGGCCGGCGCCTGGGCCGGTGCCTTGGCCCCCCTCCTCGGCTTTTGTGGAGCCGACGGAGTAGGGGCAGACGCCGCCGCCGCGTAAGAAACGCGGCCGCCCACAACGGGGAGCGCGGTCGGAGCGGCGGCCTTTGGCCGCTGTGCCGACGCGAGCGGGGGGCGCACAATCGGCGCAGGGGGCAGTCTCGCCTCCAGGCCAGCCAGGCGTCCGTCCAGCATATCTCCCAACTGCGATGAGGATTTCTCGCAGTTGGGAGTCAAATGCCCCTGAGTTGGTGGTAGGGGCAGGCTGGGACGCGGACGGGGCTTCCCGCTCGGGGAGGTTCGCCTGGAAGCGGGCGAACTGAGCGCTCAGCTCGTTCACCCGCTCCGTCAGCTTCTCGTTGGCCACCTGTAGGCGCGATACGTCGCCCACTAGGCCCTCCACGACCTCCGACAAAGCGGAGGAGGAGTCCTTAAGGGCCCTCACAAACGAGCCCTTAAGGTTCACGGATTTGGTGGCCACCTTGTCGATGACGGCCACCGCCGCTTTCGCCCTCTCCTGCACGGACACGGGAGCCTGGGGGGCATTTCCCTCCACCGGCTCCCGAACCTTGAGCAGGAGATCCGCGATCTCCTCCTCCGCTACGGCCTCGCCGTCCACTCGTACGCTCCTGTAGGACTCCGCCTTTGAGAACGCGGAGCCTGACGGGGTCGAGACCGAGGCCGGTTTACGCGCCCTCCCTCTACGGCTGCTTGCCACCTTTGGTGGCATCATTTCGCCGGACGTGTCGGTTTCCACGTCCCCTGAGCGTCCGCGTTTTCGGCTGTCGCTTCGCTCCGCTTCCATGGCCTCCGCGCCATCCGACGAAGCGGCGGATCCGGAGCGCAGCCGATCCGATGCTCTTCGGGTCCCAGAGATCAGAGTCAGACTGACTTCTGGGAGCCCCATCGAGATGGGCGTTCCCGACGCCACCTCACCCTCAGTGGACGACCCATCGACTCCACTGTTCCTCTTCTCCCTTGCACCTTTTGTTTCAGTGTCCGTTTTGCTTGCCTGGTTTTGTTTGTTTTCTGTTTGTGTCCGTTTCTTTGTATTTTTATTTGTATTCAAATTCATAATAAATCCCACGAGTGGGGGAGAACTAAAAGGTCCACCCGGGCAGAGATCCCCCATTACCCGGGCAAGCGTAAGTTTTTAACCCAACCGAGGGGTCCGCAGGTACCTCGGCTTGGAGTGCGCTCGCGACTGAACTTCCCATCAGCCATGCATCCCCTGGCCACGCACCAGAACACGGGATTCGGGGAATTTTTTAGAGAGGTTATCTTCCTCGCGGTCCGGGCGGTTAAGCCAAGACCCTCGCCCCCGATCAGAGCCGCGAGACTTAACCACAGCGCTCTTCTCGGGATTACGATATGCCGACGGTTGACAGGGAGACTACGTCCCCCTGCCTGCTCGGTGGTAGTGTGAGTACACGCCGAGCCCGTCCTCCTTTCTCCACCGCTGTCAGCGGAGAAACTGTGGCCCCTACAGGGCCCCGCCATCAGGTTTTTTACCGAGGTTTCCTCCTCCATGCTCCGAAGAGCGAAGAGCCAGGAGGGCAACCGGCAGACACGCCCACCCTGCTGGACCAGGCCTTGCCCGAGAGCCGATGAACGGCTGCCTCTTCTGCTAGAATATTGGCCGCTGGCGATAATCCTCTCCTCCAAGAGGACAAGGAGGAAACAGTACCATCGCCAGCGTTTCCAGGGTGCACCACGGGGAGGTTTTCTAGCTAGCACCCCTTGGGGGACACAAACCCTATACCAACTCGTCTAGCCAGCGTGGTATTAGAATGTAATTATGTAGGGCATAGAAAGAAGGTTTTGGCCTCCAATACCACGCTGGCTAGACGAGTTGGTATAGGATTTGTGTCAAGTTTTCCTCCTCTTTGCAGTTCTCTTGTCCTGCGTAATTTGGTTGCTTAGTAGGCTCTTACGATACCTACACGGGAGTAGTATACTGTGGCTCACAGCTCGCCTCAATATATACTACTCACGAGATGAATGGGGGTGGTGACACTCCGTATTCTTAATCCAGCACCACACGGAACAGTGAAGTTAAGAGTTAAGGTAATAAAATAGCGTTTGTATACTACCTAGAATCTTTTTCAAAGAGAATAACTAACATAATAATCTTGGATTTTTTTGATTAGCTTCTTTTACTGTGTCTAGGCATAATTTACCTCACCAGGGACTTCCTTTCTAGGGTATACCTGGTTCCCTGGCTATAAGTACCCGAGACGGCGTGCGGTTTTAGTGGTTCGAGTCCGACATGCCACCGATAGGTGGTATCCGAGGGGATTTCCACACGGAAAAAAAAAGGTGTAACTTATCTATAATATGTATGTATTTAGAAATATATCAGTATGTTTATCAGCAGTCCGGTTACCATAGACTAGACTTTGCCTAATTTCAATTCAGACAGCCGTTTGTAAGGTGTTGTAAATATTTTTATTATCTATAATCGACTAAAGTTACGAGTACTAACTGAAATTGAATGCAGAATGCGTCAAAGCAGATTAAACATGATTGATTACTGATAACTTACGACATAATCGATGTCTACACATGTATAGTAAGCCACATTAATTCTTACTCTTTTCTAAGTGTCCCTATGCCTCGGAGCATCCTTCTTCTTCTTCAATGTGACGTATATGACGGGCTTGTTGGTCTCCTGCATGGTCTTTAATGCTAAGCCAAAGGTAGTAGGTTCGATCTCCACCCAGTACAAATAATTGTGTGATGAGCATGATCATTTGTTTTGTGTATGAGTGTAATTTTGTCTATGAATAATATTGGTTTTTAGAAATATATAAGTTGTTTATCAGCAGTCTGGTTACTGTAGGTCTGTCCGTGTGGTGACGGATTAAGAATACATTATCGCCATATATTTATCCCGTGGGTGTCGTAAAAGGCAACTAAAGGAGCAAACTACGCAGGACAATAACACTGCAGAGAGAAGGAAAACTTGACACAAAGCCTATACCAACCCGTCTGGCCTGCGTGGTATAGTAGGCCAAAACCTCCTTTCTAAGTAGAGGCCTATGTCCAGCAGTGGACTAGTAAAGGCTGTTGATGTGATGATGTGACGTGGTCACCATGGCACAGGCTCTACCTAGTTTGGATCAGACGGCCGTGTGTTAGAGTTGTGAGGTTATTATTATTATTAAATAGAAATGAATCGTGACAGACAATTCTCTCTCCTCTAGTTAAAAGTGTGCTTCAGCAGTTCGCTTGGTACTAAGCTTTTCTTTTCAGTATTTAAATAATTTGATCATTGTTATAACAATAGTATTGTGTATATTCGATATTTACCTAACAGAAACTGCCTGCAGGGCTGAATTAAAATCAAACGTGTCTCTCCTGCTATTTTTCAATTTATATTAAATTTGCAGCATTTCTTCGAAATTATATTTCTTACTTTTTATTTTTGTAGTGAAAACTTCTTTAAGCGCGTTGGGCAATTTTGAACAACAAACAAATTAATGTATTTTCTTAAATGAGAAAAAAATCATTGAACTCTCGACACTGTTACCGTTGCCGAGAGTAGATTTGACTGAAATATATTGACAATATAACTGTAGAAATATAAAATTAACACATATTGTGTATATGCGTACAATATAGATATATATTTATGTCGGAACTTTTCGAATCGAAAAAACAAAAAAACCTGTTATAATAAAAAATAAAAAACAAGGAGTGACTCCCGGACTCCCGGAGTGACGCTGTTTTTTGATTTTCTACGAAATATACACGCATAATTAATATTATTTAACGGGAATTAACGCGATCTCTTATTTAGGGTATTACATACCTCTGGTTTGAGTGACGTTTCGACCAGGTTGCACCGGCCGTGGTCACAGGCTGACATAACAGGGTAATACCCTAAATAAGAGATCGCGTTAATTCCCGTTATATAATATTAATTATCATGGAACGCGAAAGTTTAAAAGTTAGTATATACATGCATAGGGACAGTGTACCTACATTCGATTTGCTTCAAAGCATCAAATCGTAATTTTCGTCGTAAGGTTTTCGTAAGGTCGTAAGGTAATCATAATAAGGTTTTTTCTATTAGCACAGATCATTTTTTATTTTTAAAAAGACAGAGGAGAACTTTACAAACATTCATGACACGGACACAAAGTACGCCTAGACTCAGAACAACAATTTGTGGATCACACAAAGTGTCGTCCCATGTGGGGATCGGACCCACAACACTCAGCGTAGTAGTAAGCGGCGGGGCGACCGCTTAAACCACTACGCCATCCTTGCAGTCTAATGTCATAAAGAGTGACATTTTATTACCATAGATGTACCTAAAACATCTAAAAGTCTTGATAAGTATACTTAATCCTGTGTTATAGATATAATTTTCGAGAAATAATAAAAATCTCGTAGTCTTGCGAAAAAGCCAACTTCAATTTATTTAAATTGTTGTTTTGTACTAAATCACACAGAACGGCTGAAAGAATCTGGATGAAATTTAATCAGATATATATTTATTATCTAGAATAGTCTATTTTTTGTCTCGTAAAATTGACTAAAAAAGTCGACATCAACGCGTTATTTCATCTGCGTTTATAGACACTACTCCATTCCAAATGGCCATAGCGTGACGATTCATAGATTGTATTATATATAATAACAGATAACTATTATGTTTTAAACGGCCTGTTGTTGGCCGGAGGTCATGGGTTCGATTCCCACCCAGAATAAATATTTTATTATCATCTTTTCTGTTCCTGGGTGTAATTTATATACAGTATGTATGTATTTAGAAATATATAAGTATATTTATCAGCAGTCTGGTTACCATAACACAGTATATATATAAATTTAGTATGTCAGATCTGTCAAGTTAGTAATTAGTAAATATTTTTTAATAAACTTACCGTAAAAAATAAGCTTATAATTTTTGTGCCCGCGTCCAGACTGAGGCAAACACAACACGTGTTGACTGAAAAACACATTTTAATAGAGAGTATTATTCGATATTAAATATAATGGTCACCACAAAATAATTTACGTGTTTATTAAAACGCAGACACTCGTACACTGATTAGATTCCCATATACAATATTATCTTAAGACCAGTGAGGCGAGGCAACCAATTATCGGCCGAGTCTTAACAAATATATTTTAACATCAACCTGAAATATGTTACGTATTTCGCGTCTAGTATAATATAAGTACACAATAACTTTATGAATTATTATAACTAACTAGCTGAACCGCGCAACTTCGTCTGCGTCTCTCAATAGTAATATATTTTCTCCGTTTTTGAAACATTCTTCATTTGTGCTCCGCTCCTATGGGTCTTAGCGTGGTGATGTATAGCCTATAGCCTTCCTCGATAAATGGGCTATCTAACACTGAAAGAATTTTTCAAATTGGACCAGTAGTTCCTGAGATTAGCGCGTTCAAACAAACAAACAAACAAACAAACTCTTCAGCTTTATAATATTAGTATAGATTTCCGCCCACAGCTTCGCTCGCATGAATTTCGGTAACTGTGATTCGTTTTTCGTTTTTTTTCTTCTACAATAAACGTTATATTTCAGTCAATTTACATGAAACTATCATGAATTATAAACATATACCTTCCTCAGGAATCACACTATCTATTGGTGAAAACTGTACAAATATCTGTTCGGTAGTTTTTGAGTTTATCGCATTCATACAGACAGACAGAAGCGGCCGGGGACTTGATTTTATAATATTATGTACTGTAAGGGTTGCCTTACCTTATCCCAATTTTATTTGGACGACACCGTATGGTCTATTCTGCCATTTTATTCCTTCCTCCTCTTCCTCTTCTTTTGTACCCCTCAACTCCCAAACTTAATACTTTCTTCGCCACATTTTCCTCCTTTCTTCGGAGGGACACAATTATACACACAAGGATGTATAATTGTCAAGAGTCACAAATGCATTGACACCTTTGGAAAATGCCTTCCCCCTCCCTAGAATGAGTGGGAGGGGTTACGTTGGGCTTAGGCAAAATTTACTCACTTGGTGAGAAGCTATAAAAAAATTACTTAACACCGTTTTATGTGGTGGTATTATCTGAAGGTGTGGTATTGCTCCGATCGAACCTGCTCATTTGTGCCAAAGCATACCTATCCCACGCCATTTCACTTCATACTGTGTATGAAGAACGATTGTATTCCCAAGTAGGGTTCCCGCATCTGGTCCTTCGGACAACGTGTTTGAGGCTCTTGAGTTAAATGTGGTAATGGGTGACAGTAGTCACTAACTATCAAGCGTGTAAAAAAAAACATGTATTTTTATGCGACACCAGATGGTATGTAATTATTGTAATTAAAACGATGATTTGACTAGTATTATAATGTAATCAGTATATTACAGACAGGTATCGACCTTACAAGGGGACATAGGGGTTCCCACACAGGAGGGGGTCATCTACACGTTGTAGATGGCCCGAGGTACGTCGGAAAAGGAATTTCCTTTCTAGGGTACACCTGGTTCCCCTGCAACTGGTACCGGTCTGGTCGGTTCGACTACGACGTAACCGTCCCACCGGTGGGTGGTATCCGAAGGGATTTCCGCACAGAAAAAAAAGGTATCGACCTTACAGTGTTACCGACAGCAGCACAATGATTGTATAATGAAGTATGTTCATAGTTCATAGAGACTGCACGGATGGCGGAGTGGTTTAAGCGGTCGCCACGCCGCTTCCTACTACGCCGAGTGTTGTGGGTTCAAACCCCACATGGGACGTCACTTTGTGTGATCCACAAATTGTTGTTCTGAGTCTGGGTGTTCTTTGTGTCCGTTTCATGTATGTTTGCAAAGTCCCCCGCGACACAGGATATATGTTCCTAATGCGGGAGTTGTCTTTTTTAAAATAAAAAAAATAATAATAATAATAGTGCAATGCATTTTAGTGACGTGACATATTAATCTACTAAATAGTAAAATATTATAGTGATGTTACAACAGTAAAAAGCCAGTTATTGATCAGTTTACCTCAAAACGCTCATTACAGATAAGCCTTGTTTACTTGTAAGTATGGTGCGGGTGTTTACCGAGTTACGGACTATGTACTCGAATTAGTTCAGTATAACGTCATCGTTGACAAACACGGTGTGTATTCCTGTTTGAATTGTGTCACTTTTTATTGTTTATCCTCCTAAAATGAATACGTCTTTACATTTTACTGTACTGAATAAAAATAAAGAAACGAAAGACGTCCACAGCTGGATATATTCCTCTCCACAGGTTCATCACAACAACCTGTAGTTTGCTGCCCGCATCTAACGGCTTTCCGCAGCCTTCATCAGGTCGTCAGACTACTAACCAATCGACCAACGAGAATCGGATAGTTGCAATCGAATGCAAAATAGATCTTCAAATAGACAAAGAAAACAAAACTCCGTCTCTTTTGAAACTATAAATGATAAGGTTCAGATAGGCGTATTTTTTTTACCTGCCTTCAACCCAAAATGTAAACGTTAGTTAGGATCCGGACTATGATTGTAGCATATAAGTAACCTTTTTTTTTCTTGTCTAACTCTCTTTCAAGTTCGTTGAGAATAGAGTCTTCTGGTAAATCTGCGCCAAAGAGTTCAATATACATATAACCTTGAAGTTATGTTTGAAGACGTTGTTATATTCTGCACATTTTTAAACTACCACTGCAGTTTTTACTGTCTCCTTCACCTCTACCCCAAAATTATGAAAATTCCCTTTGTATTTCTATTAAATAGATAAATAAAAAACCTTACAAATTACCTCCGTAAAAATACAGACGAATTAGGTTATTATTTTAATTCTGCTAACATAAAACCATATCTTGTAATTAACAAATGCACAAGATGGTAGATAAAAAAACTGTCATCCACTTTACACTATAATTAATTTGATTCTGATTTGTAATCAGTTACGTATAGTCATGGAGATTATCTACACTGTAAACAAGAATACCAGAAAGATGAGACAATGTTATAACATATCCGCCTTGCTAAACGGTTCGAACGAAAGACGATTTCTAAAATGCCAATATTTGCTCCTCTGTTCTACATTTTTAGTTTTTATTTGAGCAGTTAGATTGACAATCTAAAACATTCTGTCACACAAAACATCCTTACGTTGAATATTTGTATGATTCATATCAGTTTAGCCAATGAATATCTTAAATACAAATTAAAAATGTTGTGTAAGCACACAATCTACTATTTCGCTTGCTTTTTTCTGCAGATTTAGAGTTAAACGTTTCAAAATTTGTATTAATAGTCGGTTCATGAACTGAGCTGACACCTTGTCACCACCCCAATTCATCCCGTGGGTGTCGTAAGAGCGGACTAAGGGAGCAAACTAAGCAGGACAACAGCACTGCAAAGAGAAGGAAAACTTGAAACAAACCCTATACCAACCCGTCTGGCCATCGTGGTATAGTAGGCCATAACCTCCTTTCTAAGGAGAGGCCTATGTCCAGCAGTGGACTAGTATAGGCTGTTGATGAACTGAGCTGAACTAGTAGACAAACAGATAACATGTACCAGTTTGAGACGAAGAATTTAAGTTGAGTTAAAAATTGAGCCACATAATGTATATTTGCTTATTAAAAGCGCCTATTTAAACGCAACAGCAGCACAACCACGACCTCTTTTTGATTTGCTCGAACCCTTAATAAACTAAAACGTTCGTTCTTTACGTTAAGTCGGTTTATCTCTCGGACCATGTATAATATCACGCTACGGCTAGATAAGGAAGAAGCAGAGAGCGTGAAAAACACGGATAAGATGTTGCCAAGTAGCTCGTATGGTGTAAATTTCTCAAACTGTAATTGTTATTTATATTTTTATTCTATAGTTTTAATCTTCATTTCGGAGACTAGTATGGAACCCGATATGTAATACTTTTACAAGGAGTGAAGCGTCCAAGCCCTCTAAACGATATTTTTTTTTAAATTTTACAAATTCAGTAAATTCTTTTTATTTCCCTCACTGAATACTCTTTGCTTAATACAGCACATTCCTTCATTATGCCTCCTGAGTTGCGGCCGCAGGCGTTCATGGGCGGTGATAGTCACTTTCCATAAAAAATTGATCAAAAGATTGACTAGTATGTAAGAACCGTGCTTAACAGTACATTTATGAAAGAGTAACAACCATTATTTTAAGTAGATTTATATTTTTATATATTTATCATATATTATAGAAGTATTTAATATTTGATAATTATAAACTCGATTGAAAATGGAATGTACAAGTGACTTCAGTTTATGACATAAAAAACAGGCACTTTTTAATAAAAGAACTAGGTAATAAGTGTCATTATTCAAGTAAGACTTTACAAACATAAGCCGTTACACCGGCGCGGCGTGGCGACCGCTTAAACCACTACGATATACGCGCAGTCATATTATGTCAGTACAATTCTGCAGATATTGTTTAACAATTGTTTGATTAAAAGTGGACGATTTTTGGAACGAAGTTCCTTATCGCGCGTTGTGAAAGGGGGCTAGACGGAAAAAATTCGTACGAAAATTTGTCACGACACTTTTAATATAAATTGACGTCTAACTGTGGATACCATACATTAAATTTGCTTTAACGTTCGCCAACGTCCATACCATGTTGAATACACCGGTTCTCGTCCGATCACCGAAGTTAAGCAACATCGGGCGTGGTTAGTACTTGGATGGGTGACCGCCTGGGAATACCACGTGATGTTGGCTTTTTGCTCTTTATTTTTGTGTTATCTTGTCAGACATTCAGCGCCATCTAACGAATAGATAGGAAATCATTTCGCAAGGAGATTTTACCAATGTATAAATTGTTTTAATTGTTTTTAATATGTAGGTAATATCCGCTTTCATAGATGGCGTTGTAATTAAAATCGTGTCAAATCAGTTTTACTCGATCGTCACAACTTCGTTCCTATCGGGTGTCCCACGACACCACACGGCTTTTTTTTTTCTTTATGGCATATGGGGGCAAACCAGTATACGGGTCACCAGATGGTAAGTGACTACCGCCGCCCATGAACATCTGCCATTTAAGAGTCACGAGTGCGTTGCCCTCTTCAAGTCCCTCTCCAGAATCTAGGGCTAGGAGGGATATTACTATTCTTACTAAGTAAAAACCAAGGAAAGAATCGCTTAAAATCGGTTTTGTGTAAGGTCGAGGCATCGCTCCGGTCGATCCGGCCCATTTATGTCGAAGCATGTCTCTTTCACGGATAAGGTGCAGCTGCGTGGCATTAGTAATAAATGCGCCAAGTCTTTTATTCTCTCTGTTTTTTTGGTTTATTTAATTATAACGATAACCTTTAACCCTCATCATTGGTCATAGCGACGCGTAGATCAAAGTATTATAATCTCTTACTCGTAAGTACAAATAAGTACTTTGATTCCTATCTTTAATGATATCGAATAGGGCAAAATGGGCAAAATAAACTCATTGCGCAAATTATTGGACCCAAACGGTCGTATTTTTTTTAAATAATAATAATCTTTATTTACTTCGATTCTTACATTTGTACTTAGCTTAAGCACAACACATAAAACATGATATGCACAGGTATAATAGAGCTTAAGTAGTAATATGATCACAAATACCGGTCAGTTACGACAAACTCATAAACTAGGTAAGAAACCTGTATCTTAGGAGTCGTGTAATTTCTAGATAACAATTTATACAACGTCATCGATCTATTCAATAGGGTGTGCACAGTAACAGTTATGGAGAACTATATAATAAAATTAATGCTATCCTTTGCATATACTCCTGTAATAAATATAAGTTAAAAACAGTATTAACAACATGGCTACAAAACCTAACCTATGATGATACAGAAAGCCTACTTGTGCCACTAAGTTAAACATAATCTATTTATTTATTTATTATAGTTTGAATTATACAAATACATAACATGCACTAGCATAATCATATACACATACACAAACAAACACATACCCACTTATAGACACACGCATACACGTACACTCGCAAGCAAACCCACACTCACATACACGCACACACACACACACACATCTCGTTTTGCTATTTTTTATTGCTTCTCTCTTGTTTGTCTACTTATACTAGTATAATGTATTATAAACTAGTACATGCTAAAGAAATATAACTATGTTCCGTCCAGAAGGTGTGAGCCTGGTGAGCTGTAACACAGGTTTTACCTACCGCAGACACCAGTCTCTCACAAAGCAATGATGTACCCAACCTGACCGATCTGTATTTATAAGTTCTTTGTGATGAGGGAAATAAATAAATATTATTATTATTATTATGATTATTGGAAAACAACATGTGTTATGTCTGTAGACAGTTATGAAAATGCAACGATAAGCCATTCTGTGTTATCATATGACAACTTCTGCAAATAACTCTAATACGTGGGGGCCATCGATTTTTAGAAGTGAAAAAAGGAGAAACAACAAACAAATGGAATAACATCGAGTTTGTAAAGACTCTCGACGAAGAAGTAAATAAATACCTCCAGTGACTGGACATTATTTGTGGACACGTATGAAAAGCATTACAGAATGCCGGAGGATATACAACTAGTGGAACTCACAGTACCATGGAAAATCAACATCCATAAAGGAAGAAGGACTTTGATTTAACCAACGAAATAACTAAAAATGCCAGTTTCGTAGCGTTATATGCCGTGGCGGTGAGATAAATCTCTCTAAAATCTGTTCAAAGACCTTGAATTGCCAAGAGCTTCAGTAAGCTCTTTTCTTGAACGAATATACAAAGCAGCATTGTTAGGATCATATGAAATATGGTTAAGTAGAGGGGGTAACACAGTATACAGTGGAAGTGAGCGCTGACGCGTCGCAAGAAGTACTCCTTAAACCTATTCCTGGGTGGCACGCCCCAGGGGCTGTCGCAGTCGCATGTGTTACTACCATCTATCACGTGATGGACCCGGCACCCGCACGGTGTCTTCATGGAAGGCTAAGAAATAGGTCTTACATTTATATTAGTTACGTAAAATAAAATTAAATGTATTGACTTATTAAACCCAGTAATATGTAAATTGTCATTTAGCGTATCATATGCGCTTTTGGTTACGTACGTATTACTAAGGCTAGTAGTCAATTGATATTATCAATTGTCAATTGATATATGATGATTTTATTTTCAAGGTAACTCTATTCTGACGACTGAGACGACTGGATGGCGTAGTGGTTTGTGTAACGGACTGCTATTCCAAAGGTCGCGGGTTCGATTCCCGCTCAAGTCAAACATTTGTGTGCATGAACATTTGATGTTTGATTTGGTCTGGGTGTTTCTATGTATAATATGTATGTATTTACAAAAAAAAAGTATATATGTATTTATATCAGTTGTCTAGTACCCATAGTACAAGATCTGCTTAGTTTGGGACTAGATGGCGTTGTGTGTATGTGGTAGAATATATATATATATATATATTCTTCGTCAAGGACAAGTACATAGAATCAAACTTTACGACCTCTTAGCAAACGACAAACGTTTATTTATCAAGAAAATTCTATCTAATCACTATAGAAACCAACTCGTTGAGAGAGCACCATATCAAAGTCAAGTTTTTACGATTGCAAAATTAAAACGATATCAACAAATCTTTGATAAACGAACCGCAGTAATACTTATTGCATTATCACACGCAAAATCATGGTCGCGATGATAGCATAAAAACAAAAAGCAAACAGTCCAGTGATAACAGAGTTTTGATGCCGAACAAACGTGATCTCACATACTCTTTAAAATAGTTTTACGTTGTGTACATGTTCTATTTATAATCTATGGTTTAAAAACAAAATGGGTGTGCCTATGGTAAATAAATGCTGTTTTTGCGGGAGTCTGCACACTGGCACGTTGATTATTGGGTACCTGTATTCAGTGAGTATGTATTTCGTAATTATAAGGTTAACACATTTTCTTTGTTTTAATCAATTAAGAAAACATTCATTTATTTTTTCATCTCTTTCGTTAAATCTCAAATCATATATTTCTTAATTTTATTTCGTAACAAGTTCAAAGAATGACAGTTTTATAGTTTACGATTTTAAGTGGCATGACGAAATATTTATAGCTTTAGATAGATAGATTTATTAGATGAAAAATCCTTTCAAGGTGAATGTTTAGATGAGTGCCTGCAGTTTTTCTTATAGCAATTTGTATTAAATACAATATGTAATTGTTTTTAATAAATATATAAGTGACTTATAACTTGTTTCTCATGTGTCTAAGGACAATAACACTAATCTATTAGGTCTTTACCTATGAAATTGCCGTTTTGTATGCAATAAGTGAAAGTACTTATTTTTTCAAACTTTTTTATTTCTGTTATTCGAAGTAATCATCCATGCAATCGACGCAGTTTATTGATGCCCTTCTTGTAAAAATCAGCTGGACGGGAGGCAACAAACTCTTCAAAGGCATTTTGTACTGCCTCTCGGGAATTGAATTTTTTACCCACTGCAACCAGCTTTGGTCAATCGGTCGTCCCCACTGCTCCTTCACGACAACGCGCGACCCCAAACTGCGCAACAGACAGTCTCCAAGCTGCAAGAGCTGGGGTTGGAAGCTCTCCCTCATCCGCCATACTCACCAGACCTTGCACCTACCGACTATTACTTTTTCCAAAATCTAGACAACTTTTTAGTGGGTATTTTTTAAACTGATCTGAAATCATATTTTTAAACTGATAAATAACCGCGTCTCGGCAAACGTAGTGTAGGACGCCCACGGGCCAGGTGGAGTGACGATTTGCGCAAGATGGCTGGCTGTCAGGAGCTGGATGCTAGAAGCCCAAAATCAATCTAAGTGGCGTGCAATGGGAGAAGCCTATTTAAAGCAGTGGACTGCGATAGGCTGATGATGAAGAACCGAGAAAGCCAATATTTCGTATGAGAGAGGTCTAACGTTAGTGGAGATACTGCGTATTTACTATCAAAGAAGTTGATGACATATTAGGTTTTTTTTTAGAATACTTGAGAACGAACAAACATTAGCATAAGTCACACCTTATGTAGTTTTTCTTTTTGCTGAGGGTCATGACCTCTACCGTCTCTAGGTCCGTGTGGTGACGGATTAAGAATACAGAGTGTCACATCCCGTGGGTGTCGTAAAAGCCGACTAAGGGAGCAACACCGACCCGTCTGGCCAGCGTGGTATAGTAGGCCAAAACCTCCTTTCTAAGAAGAGGCTTATGTCCAGCAGTGGACTATTAAAGGCTGTTGATGTAATGATGATGTGATGTGATGTCCTCTACATGTAATCTGCCCGTTGTTACGATATTCAGCGCTGTGAATGACTTCGTGGATTTTTTTGTTGGTGGTGTCGCGAATCTGGTCTATCCAGCGCATGAAGCTCTTTCCTCTCCACCACATTCCCTATCCAGAAGCTTTTCTAGGTTGTGTTCACACAAATGTTGTGGATCACACAAAGTGTCACCCCATGTGGGGATCGAACCAACAACACTCAGCGTAGTAGGAAGCGGTAGTAAGCTGACAACAAACATCTATTCTTGGAAGTCTGCATAAACATTGAGTGCTAATAGTGTTTTTCTGGAAGTCTGCATAAACATTGAGTGCTAATAGTGTTTTACTGGAAGTCTGCATAAACATTGAGTGCTAATAGTGTTTTTCTGGAAGTCTGCATAAACATTGAGTGCTAATAGTGTTTTTCTGGAAGTCTGCATAAACATTGAGTGCTAATAGTGTTTTTCTGGAAGTCTGCATAAACATTGAGTGCTAATAGTGTTTTTCTGGAAGTCTGCATAAACATTGAGTGATAATAGTGTTTTTCTGGAAGTCTGCATAAACATTGAGTGCTAATAGTGTTTTTCTGGAAGTCTGCATAAACATTGAGTGCTAATAGTGTTTTTCTGGAAGTCTGCATAAACATTGACTGCTAATAGTGTTTTCTGGAAGTCTGCATAAACATTGAGTGCTAATAGTGTTTTTCTGGAAGTCTGCATAAACATTGAGTGCTAATAGTGTTTTTCTGGAAGTCTGCATAAACATTGAGTGCTAATAGTGTTTTTCTGGAAGTCTGCATAAACATTGAGTGCTAATAGTGTTTTTCTGGAAGTCTGCATAAACATTGAGTGCTAATAGTGTTTTTCTAGTGACAGCTCTGTTCATGGCAGAGTTATACTTGCAAGTTCCTTTAGTACAACCAGGTGACTCAACTGTAAAGTCAGTTAATAATAATAACCTCACACATCTCGCACACGGTCGTCTAATCCAAAACCTGTCACAGCCTGTACTGTCATAACCAGACTGCTGATAACCGTACGTATATATTTCGAAATACAGACATATTTTACATAAATTACCAACAGACACAGAACTGATGGGGCCCATTACACTATTATTTGCCCTGGATGGGAATCAAACCCATACCCGTTGGCTTAACAATCAAGATCACTAACCATTAGACCAATAGGTGTTTAAATCGTTGTCTGCTATTTTTTCAGGTTTGGGCACTTCTGGAACTCACAATCTACTGCCTCCTAGTCACATTGGCGCCACTTGGGAAAGATGGTAACGTTTCCACCCACAAGCTGGTGCTATTCATCACTGCAGCAACCGTGAGCGGAGTTCACCTCATCAGTTCTGTACTCCTGGTAGTGGCCGCTTATAAGGTACCTACGTGAGATGGAAAACAAGATTTTAAATGCTTTTATCTTTTTATGGTATAGGGGTTCAAACGAGCAGATGGGTCACGTGATGGCAAGTGACTACCGTCACCCATGGATACGTGCAACTCAAGAAACATAGATGTGTTGCCGCCATTTAAGTTCTCATTGCTCCGATAAACTTACTCACCCGGGAAATAGGACGAAAGATTTGATTAACACCGGTTTTCTGTGAGGCTATGTTATCACTGAGGTTGAGCCCGCCCTTTTGTGCCAAAGCATGGCTCTCCAAAACAATCTTGACTGCACGGATGGCGTCGTGGTTTAAGCTGTCGCCACGCCGTTTTCTACTGTGTCGAGTGTTGTGGGTTCAAATCCCGCATGGGACGACACTTTGTGTGATCCACAAATTGTTGTTCTGAGCCTGGGTGTTCTTTGTGTCCGTTTTATGTATGTTTGTAAAGTCCCCCGCGGCACAGGATATAGTCCTAATGTGGGAGTTTGTCATTAAAAAATAAAAGAACGGTTCAGCATCATCATCACATAACAGCCTTTAGTAGTCCACTGCTGGACATAGGCGTCTCCTTAGAAAGGAGGTTTTGGCCTACTATACCAAGCTGGACAGACGGTTTGCTCCCTTAGTCGGCTCTTACGACACCCACTTGATGAATTGCACTTAATCCATCACTACACGGACAACGCGGAAAAGAACTGTTGTTTTTAAATTATTCCCTTCCATATTCAATTAGGCTATCCATGAGTTTGATAAACCGTCAAAGTCAAATAAGTAAATTTTCAAAAAGTCTTTTTGCTTGTAGCGAATAAAATGATGAAACGGAAAGACACTTTTCCCGTTTTTACTTATTTATTACTCTTTATTTATTTCAACCTTTCTAAGGAGAGGCCTGTGTCCAGCAGTGGACTAGTAAAGGCTGGTGATGATGATGACGATTTATTATATCAATTTTTCTAGTATTCTTTCAGGCCTATTGGTCTAGTGAATAACGATCCTGGCTGCAATTCAGAGGTTCGATTCCCACCCATGACAAACATTGTGTGATGAGAACGATCATATTTTGTTCTCTCTCTGGGTGTAATTTATCTATCATAATGATAACTTCACATATCTCACACACAGCCGTCTGTTCTCGTTCTCAAAATAGGCAGAGCCTATAATATTGTAACCAAAATGCTGATAAACATACGAGTACTTATATTCTTCTTTCGCTAATCTCAGGAACTACTGGTCCGATTTGAAAAATTCTTTCAGTGTTAGATAGCCCATTTATCGAGGAAGGCTATAGGCTATATATCATCACGCTAAGACCAATAGGAGCGGAGCACCAATGAAGAATGTTTCAAAAACGGAGAAAATGTATTACTATTGAGAGACGCAGACGAAGTTGCGCGGGTCAGCTAGTCTATACTAATATTATAAAGCTGAAGAGTTTGTTTGTTTGTTTGAACGCGCTAATCTCAGGAACTACTGGTCCGATTTGAAAAATTCTTTCAGTGTTAGATAGCCCATTTATCGAGGAAGGCTATAGGCTATATATCATCACGCTAAGACCAATAGGAGCGGAGCACCAATGAAGAATGTTTCAAAAACGGAGAAAATTTATTACTATTGAGAGACGCAGACGAAGTTGCGCGGGTCAGCTAGTTATAGATAAATTACACCCAGACACAGAATAAATGATTGTGATCATTACACAGTTATTGGTCCTGGGTGGGAATCGAATGTTTGGTTTAGCAGCCAGGATCATACAGAACAACTCTACCAACAGGCCAGTCAAATGCTCTCAAAACTCTACGATGTGTATTAAGAAATAAATGTGTCCGATTGACAGCAATAGGGTTGGTTCCTATTGCTGTCAACCGCAGTATATATCTACGTAAGTGGTACTAAAACTTGTCGTAAAATGTGGACATTTAATACACCTCTGTACACCCCTTCGGAATAAACGCCGACGTATTCATGTATGTTTTATATGTTCCAGACACTGCCCTTCCTAACACTGCCATGGACGATAGTAACTGGTATCATCACGGCGCTGTATTTCCTCATGTCCTTTACAGGCATAAGTCTCATACTCCAAGACGAGGGTATGTTGCTAGAGGTGGAAATACTCATTGTTGTGGTGCATCTCCTCAGGTCTTGTGAGTATCGTAAATAAAAAATGAATTTATTTATTTCCTACATACTATCATTACAGGTATATCCTAATGCGATAGTGTTACTATTACAAAAATACTTGTCTTACATAACTTCTACGTTTGTGTTTTGTAATATATAATATATAGTGTTGTCGTTGTCAACTTATCAGTGTACAGATAAATAAGTCAATATCTGTGGCTACGAGGTTCAGGGTACGCAACGCATGCGTTAAAGGCGCTTCGCCTAGCAAATTTGTGCGTCCGCGCAGCACCGCCAACAATGGCGTACGCCGTCCCTGCCGCACATACCCGTCCGGTACAAACATGCCTACCAATTCTAAAATATGGCTGTCGTGGATTTTTTCCCCTTAGTATATTAAATATATAGGAGGCAAGACAAAGGTCCCTTCTGACTCTAGGATCGTTATATCCGACCATGCCCAAGAGTAAATTGATATATGTAATTAAAACGGCACTGGTTAAGGTTAGGAAAAGCAAAATTGATTGAGGAAACACTTTTGATTCTTTTTCTTTTCACTTGTATATGGACGAACTAGGAGACGGGTCACCTGATAGTCACTACATCCGTCCATCGGTAACTGCAATTCAAAAGCCACAAGAGCATCGCCGCTGATTCAGTCCCCCTTCCTCCACCCCGAGTTTTTACAAAGTCCTTAGCTTACACCGGTTTTCTGTGAGGCCACGGTCCGCCTATCTTGTCCTATTCTTTGACGCCAATATCTTGGGAGCCAATGCCAAATCAGTTTGTATAGTTTATGTACAATTTTCAGGTATTTCGGTGTACTGCATAGTGGTGGTTCACAGTCGGCATAAACAGATCATGAATGAAGAAGACGAAAGCAGATTTCAGCATTCTGGAAGAATCTATCATGCTGTGAAGAGCGACGATCACGCTATTTAGAACAATTGTAATTTAGAAAAAAAACTATGTGAGAGAGATCTATTCATATTTAGTACAGACTAGCTGTCGCCCGCGGCTCCGCCCGCTTATATTTAAATACAATAACATAAAATAATAATATATTCTACCACATACACACAACGCCATCTAGTCCCAAACTAAGCAGAGCTTGTACTATGGGTACTAGACAACGGATATAAATACATATATACTTTTTTTTTTGTAAATACATACATATTATACATAGAAACACCCAGACCAAATCAAACATCAAATGTTCATGCACACAAATGTTTGACTTGAGCGGGAATCGAACCCGCGACCTTTGGAATAGCAGTCCGTTACACAAACCACTACGCCATCCAGTCGTCAATATAAATATAATTTATAGCACTCACGGATAATGCAGGTGGGTAGGTCACTATATAAATTTTGATACACGCCACGCTAAAAGTAAACAATATACCTATACTTAGAATATACAAAAATCCAACGGCAACGCGTTTGTGACTCCTGAGTTGCAGACGTTCATGGGCGGCGATAGTCACTTTCCATCAGGTGACCCATCTGGTCGTCTGCCTCCTCTAACATAACATCCTCAAAATGCTCTTCATCACTCTCCATACAAATTTTCACCCACCTAAACAAGTCGTTATTCATTGCACCACGCAGTATCATTCTCCGGAGCCCGGTCTTTGCTCGTCTCTCCTGCACAGCTTTGAAATCTTTTTTCAAGGCGACTGTAGTGAACCAGTCTGAGTTAACAGACTTACAATTCTCTCTTACTCTTACTTACAAGTCTTTGCAATTTTGTTGGCAACTAGCCATCTGGAAACACCCATACCGAGGAGTGTTTCTTGCTTGCCGGATCATATTCATAAAGACGATTTCAGAAACACGTCTTGACCTCCCATTTTTAAAACGTAAACGCATCTCACGGCACCATTCCACACGGGCTTCTTTTTCCCTTTCGGAGAGCAAACGAGGTACCTATCCAATGTCAAAAAGCATTCAATAAAAGTAACCGAACTGATGCCTAAGGTTTTCTCGATGTCCCTGTAAGTAATTCGTGGGTTATCTGGCACAAGCATTTCAGTAGTCCACACATTTTCAGCAGTGACTGCTGTTGGCGGACGTCCATTTCTATAATCATATTCAAGGCTAGTTTTCCCCCTTTTAAATTCGTTAAACCATCTAAAAATGGTTGCCCGAGAAGAAGCAGACTTACCTAAAGCTCATTTTAAACGTTCTAAACTTAAACCTTCAAATTTAAAGTCGTAGAGAAACATTTAAAGTCGTAATATATCATAGAGAATGTTCACGTTTAAGCTCCATTGTAACAGACAAATCAGCGGACATGATGACAATATAATGCTGCTAATTTTTTTTATTGCTGTGAATGGTCTTTTGTGTTCGATTTTTAAATACATTTGCCCTTTAATGATATATGACACTCAAAAGTTATATAGTGACCTACGTATATTAGTGAACGAATTTAAAGAATTAGTTTAGTAGTTTCAAAGATTATACTCTACACACAAACAAATTTTACCTCTTTTATAATATTAGTAGTTAGATAACCAGTTTTACTCATGTGTATGTTTTGATGATGCCGCTAGTTACGGACTCGTCGGAAACCTTTTATGAAGTAGTTAAATCTCCTTCTGCGAATATGTCGGGCATTCTCGAAATATACACTTGAGTAAGCCCGTTTAAATTTGATAAACAATTTAATTTATGTTAATTATTAATTGAGAATAAAATTATATCATTTTTTGTTCTTTGTTTTACAAAATGTTAGCCCAAATAAATTTGGTTTTGTCAAGTAGTATATTACAAAAACATTTCAGATATCGTGCGATGTGCGAGCGTTGCAAAATTTACTTTAGGTATACTTAATATAGAATGTGATATTAAATAGCATTATATTTGAGGGACTTTAGACTAATACTTTGTAGATAAAGAGGGACTCTCTATGTGAAACTCTTCTTGAAGATGCCATGAAAATGCACTTGGGCGACATAAACTTCTATGTACTGCATAGTTTCTACTTTCTATGAAGTCGAACCATCGAGTCGACTTATTGAAAATTTCATGATACTCAATGGCGTGAATCACAAAATTATATAAGGTAATAATTGATTTAAAAATAATGGTATTCTTTGTGTCTGCTCATAAACCAATCTTGTTGAAAAGGTGAGTAAATGTATTTTCGAAATGATTTCTTTATTCTTAAAAACATGTACCTCAGAAACAACGTCTATAGATAAAAAAAAATATTCTCTCTGTACTACTAGATCTTTTAATAAAACTCTTATTTACCCGAAGTCACTACGTGCTTACAGATTATATACGTAACAGATTCATTGACACGCATCATAATCTCGCTTATCTACGAATATAAGCATTTTAGATATGGCAACATACTTCCCGCTCTTGTCAAAACTCAACTCTTGTCAAATGCAAAACGTACATTACTTACTGTGGAAGTGTGGATGTGCTGTTCTTACATGGGCAGAATTAATTTAACTATCTCGTTTTGTTAACATTGGATTATATAGTTACAAAAGTGGGTACCTATATGTGCACTAGCTAGATTGATTGTTACCGAAGAAAAACAATTTTGTACAGTACATTAGCTCCGGTTCGGGACGTCGCGTTGTTGGTGCGAAAAAACTACGTGTTAGTGTTTAATACTGCATTCTAGTGGTTTAATTGAGTAAATATCTCGTGTATTGTGAATATTACGTTCGCAGAGAGGATATATTATTTTTATTGGCTTGGTAAGTATTTTTTATCTATCAATGTTACGCTCCTAAAAGAACGCTGAATGCTGTTTTTGCAATTTTATGGCCTCACCCTAAACCTTGTGTTATGCCTATTATTGATCTTGAGCAATGTTTTTCTTATTGACTTTTTAATTGCTTAGTTGAGGATGATATACACTTATAGTATTTAATAATTCGTATTTATAGCAATAGTTAATGAAAAAGTACAGAAATAATTTAAAATATGTTATTAATTAGCAGTTGTTACGTTTTTTATTTATTTAATGTATTGTATAAATATAACTGTCATCAGCCACATTAATCATGTGTAATTAAATATTTAACAAATTAGAAATTATATTTAAAAGAGCTCTGGTGGTCCCATTGCCATAATCCGTATAAAACATAAACAAAACAAATCACTTTAATTCATTTTCCCTCTAAGTTCTTGTCAGTCACTACACACTACACTACTACTAATAATAAAAGCCACTTTATCAGACATGATGTACCTTGTCCGTGTGGTGACGGATTAAGAATACGGAGTGGCACCACCCCTATTCATCCCGTGGGTGTCGTAAGAGCCGACTAAGGGAGCAAACTACGCAGAACACCAGCACTGCAAAAAGAAGGAAAACTTGAGACAAATCCTATACCAACCCGTCTGGCCAGCGTGGTACAGTAGGCCAAAACCTCTTTTCTAAGGAGAGGCCTATGTCCAGCAGTGGACTATTAAAGGCTGTTGATGTGTAGATGATGTGTGATGATGTACCTAAATGGCATGTATATGTTAGCAATTATACATTAAGTTCACTGTCTGTTTCTCTTTTGTTAGCCCTCCCTGGGGTACCATATGGTGACAAACAGAAAGACGCTTTCTTTCAGAGTCCCAAGGTTAGGCGGATATTGTCTTTCCATCTAGCTTTCGGATGTCCCTTTCTTCTACAGTCCTCTATTGGGTTACCATAAGGTTACTTGTTTGCTCCATTTATTTATTTTGGAACGTAGCATATGCCCTGTCCAGCCGAATTTTAAATGATCTATGCGAGTTATTATATGTTACTATTAAATACTACCTGAGACCCGCGTTTGTTGTTATAACCGCGGGCAACGCCGCGGGGCGAAGCTAGACTAAAAAAAGTAGCCTAAGTTACTCCTTATGTCATCAGCTATCTGTCAGTGAAAGTCCCGTCGAAATCGGTCCAGCCGTTCCAGAGATTACCCAGAACAAACAGACAGACAGACAGACAAAAATTGAAAAAAAATGTATTTTGGCATATGCACCGTGTAAACATACATATGCATTTAGTAAAAAGTGGTTATTTTAATATTACAAACAGACACTCCGATTTTATTTATTTGTATAGATATAGGTATTTTCTTTGTAAATACAGACATATTATTCATAACAAATGTTTGACATAGCAGTCTGTTACACAAACCACTATGCCATCCGGTCAGCCATTTTTTTATCAGTGGCTATGTGTATTTGATAATGTATAAGTACCGGATTCCGCCAATTCAACGGTTAAAGCATATTTTACCTAAGATCTAGTTATGGTGCATATTATCAACAAATTTACGATACTTTTCAAACGCAGTGCACACACAGCAGCAGCATGTTTCTTTGGTTTGGTACAGAAGAGCTTCAGGTCACCTACTGCAATACTCCTCCCACCTTTTACACCTATTACTGTTTTCATAGTTAATAAGTGTGCATGCTCCTCAGTTTATTTTTTTAGTGCTAAAATAGCATACAAGTTCAAATTCTGGCCAGTAACTTGTTCCTGTTGAATACGTAATCCTAAACTTATAAAAATATTTTGGATGATTGAAGATACAATCTTACTACTGAACTGCTAAAGAGCCATTTATGATTGTTTATAATTTAGGCAATTGTTGTTCCTTAAGGCAGAAATTTAAAGAAATAAACATAATGACAGTCAATATATATATGTTTATAAAAACAAAGATAGCTTCTTGAAAGGAAGTGATGTACCTACATGCTTTAAATACCAGAAATAGAAATAAACTTGTTGTACCTGCCTCTAGCCTCTAGGCGCTCCAGAAGTCCGATTCTATAATAAAATCCCAAATAGTACACAAGATTTTAGTATAAACAAATTAAATCCACAATAAAACTATGTTAGAAAGCCTATTACTCAATTGCAGATTACATAGAGGACAAGAATGCTTGGGATTAATTTAGCACATGCTATTTCATAGTGGAAATGTAAAGTAGGCTAGTGTGTCTTTCATTTAATTTTCCATTTTTTAATGTTTTACTTCAATTTCTTTTTTATTCCATATCTTGTTTTCTCTTCATTGCCTTTTTACCTTTTAGTCCTTAAAACTTACATACTGGCACAAACAAAACAATGTTGTGTAAATTTAATGATGCCATTGTATGTATCTATTGATTAAAAAAATGTGGCCGTGAGTTTGCTTGTCCTTTATTTTCATAAGACTATTGTGTGTATTGATCTATGACTTTAGAGTCTACACAAGACACAATTTTTATGTTTTTATAAATATATTTTGAGTTTAAACATTGCTGCGGCCTCCTTCTGGAGCATAACATCCTCGTAGGAGACCGCAGCTGCCCATCCCTCGCCACTCGCCAGCATAGCCGCGATCAATGCTAGTGGTGACAAGTTTCGTTGGACTTGATCGTTTATGTTTACAAAAATATTAAATTTAATAAACTGTAATGTACTGTTTTTCATTATAGTAAATAAAGTATTGAACTGTACCTTTTATCGTCTATCAATGGATAGTTTACTATTTCTATTCTGATATTAATATAAAGAATTAAAACCCACTTTTCTTAATTTACACTGGGTTTCTAAAACATCATTTAATTTTGTAAATTCTTCCAATTTTCATGCATATTTTGAGCATTTATTATTGATATTTGTATGCATGTAATGAGTTTTTTATGTTGCATATAATCTGGTCTTGAATTATGTAAAGCTGTCATTTCCAATAGACAACCAACAGCCTGCATATCCAACGAATAATGCTGACACTTGATATATCAGAACTAGTGCTGGAATAAGAATATATAAGAATAATGCATAACTTATACCAGTATATTGTTTACAAAAATGGTTCTCAAATCAGAAAATATTTTCAATGTGTTCTGCAATTAAAGTTGTGTATTTGACACGAAGTTGCAGATATAATAACTCGCATAGATCATTTAAAATGGGGTTGGACAGGACATATGCTACGTTCCAAAATAAATAAATGGAGCAAACAAGTCACCTTATGGTACCCGAGACGGGACTGTAGAAGAAAGGGACGTCCGAAAACTAGATGGAAAGACGATATCCGCCTAACTTTGGGACCTTATTGGACTAGAGCAGCACAGGATAGAGCTCAGTGGAGAGAGCTGGAGGAGGCCTATGCCAACAGGCGCACCGAATTGCGAGTCATAATATAATAAATAGAACTCGGAAATATGTATTGTCAAATCTGTAGCGAATTCGGAAGAAAGGGGCTTTATTATTATTATTATTTGACACGAATCAGATTCACACTTGTTATACCTACCTATTTTCTAAATCTTTATAAGACTTCACATAATGATGTGATGACATAAATAATATGCCTGAGCTAAAAAAGTTGGGAAAAACCATTTTTTTTGCATCAGATAACCCAATTGATGGAAGGTTATCAAACTGCAACTTTTAATGGAAACGATGGCTGATGGGGCCAAAAAGTTCTCGAGAGGCGAACGCGTACCGGAACACACTACCAAGAAGCAGTTGGTTGTGAGCAGCCCAGCACCCGTTGTTGTGGCAAACCTTGGAGGAGGCCTATGTCCATCAGTGGATGTATTTTGGCTGAGCTGATGATGACGATGATGCAACTGTAAGAAGAGGAGCACTGACCACAAACATAGATGAAACGGGGAATGGCTAATAAATATTATGTAAGATTCATATGCGTAGTGTAGGACGCAGACAGGCCAGGTTGATTGACGATTTGCGCAAGATGGCTGGCAGGAGCTGGAGGCGAGAAGCCCAAAATCGATCTAAGTGGCGTGAGAGAGGCCTATGTCCAGCAGTGGACTGCGATAGGCTGATGATGATGAAGATTCATATCCATCTAAGCTCAATTGAAACATGTTTTGCTTCAATGACATTCACATGAATTTGTATGGCACTAAATTAGTTTATGTGCATGCATTTTGCTACTTGGTTACTTAGTAATACTGAATTGTGTTTTTTTTTCTTTTTATGTTAGAGGGGGCAGACGAGCAGAAGTTACTATAGTCGCCCATGAACGTCTGCAACTCAGGAGTCACAAACGCGTGAAATGTTATGTTATTCACAAACGGATATGTTCTAGAATGCGTAAATGTCAACCCGACCAACCATAATGCAAAATAAGCATAATATGTGGCCTTCATTGGTTTATTTTTATAGGTTCATACACTAACAAGCGTGTTTTTGCAGCTTTGCAAGCAAAAACAAAAGAACATAATGCATAAATTCAAAAGCTTGTTCCTCTTATATTATATAACTAGCTGACCCTGCAAACGTTGTTTTGCTATTTCACATCATATCAAAAGCCTAAAATAGTCCACTGCTGGACATAGGCCTCTCCTTAGAAAGGAGTATTTGGCCTACTATACCACGCTGGCCAGACGGGTTGGTATAGGGTTTGTGTCTGCCAAAGGCAAGCCTAACGGACAAGGAGACGAAGAGGAGGAACAGTGGAGTGGATGGGTCGTCCACTGAGGGTGAGATGGTGTCAGGAACGCCCATCTCGATGGGGCTCCCAGAAGTCAGTCTGACTCTGATCTCTGGGAGCCGAAGAGCATCGGATCGGCTGCGTTCCGGATCCGCCGCTTCGTCGGATGGCGCGGAGGCCATGGAAGCGGAGCGGAGCGACAGCCGGAAACGCGGACGCTCCAGGGAAGAGGGGACCGACACGTCCGGCGAAATGATGCCACCGAAGGTGGCAAGCAGCCGCCGAGGGAGGGCACGTAAACCGGCCTCGGTCTC